TTAATTTTAAAATTAAATCATTATAAGACGTTAGATTTATTTTTGACAAATAAATTAATAGCCGTTGACGTTTTCCCAACATTTGACGCAAACCTCTTTGTGATAAATAGTCTTTTTTGTGAAGTTTTAAATGGTTGGTAAGTTTGCATATTTTTTTGGTAAAATTTACTATCTGAAATTCAATGGACCCTGTATTCTCTTTTGTAGAAATAAAGATTGTTTTTATCATAAAAAAAGATTCCTTTTCACTTAACCGCTATAGATTTAACGCGTTAAATCTACTTTTTAGTAGTTGTAATTTAAATTTTACGTTCAATTAAAACTTGATTCCTAAAATAGAAAATATACTAAAAAAGTGTTAATATTTACTAAGCTAAGTTTTATCCTCAATTTAGTCAGCTACTTCGCTGGAACCTACCCTGCTACAAATTAGACAAGGTAGATGCGAATACTACTAATAATTTTTCAAGGGTAAATACATAAAAATTCTTAAAATACTAAAACGACTTCCATTATTAGTATAAAACCAATACCGATTCATGCAAGTTAAATCTTCGAATCGCGAATTGGGCCAAATAAAAAATTCTATAGTGCTTTTTTGCTCTTCCCAAACTTTCGCACATTTTTTTTATAGCTGAAAGATTTATTAGTAGCTTCTGTACCTTCGCACTTTTTTTTGTTTGGATTTAAACACATTAAAATTCGTAATTCTCTACGACGTCTAGATGATAAAATATTTTCTGGAATATGAGAAGCCGCATTATTGTTCTTTTGAGTTGTAATGACTCTCTGGTTTCGAGATTCATTATTAGTCGGATATTTTATCTTATGAACCAATGACATATTTAAAAGTTGATAGATATGAAATTTTCCATTCTTATTAATATACAAAGGAAAAGGCTCAAAATTCACTCGTTTCTCTTTTAAAAATTCTGGGACACCGATATCTTCAAGGACCTCCAAAGTAAGATCCTTTATTCCAATTTCTGGCATTATATGCAAATTGAGCTTTTCCCTTTGAATGGAAGAGAATAGCATTTCATTTTGATTGATAAGTCTAAGTAGAAGACATAATATCTGTATATTTTTGAAACCACTTTTTTCAAAGTAGACTCTCCTCGTAATTGAAAAAGTAAATGCTTTTTCATAAAAGATCTGATATATGCTAGTTGGGGGTCGTCCTCACTTTCATCGTTTTGCTGGTTCTCAGTTTTACTTTTCTGCTTATTTTTAGTCTCAGCATTCTGTTGGTTCTCAGTTTCTTTATTCTCGTCATTTTCAACCTTATTTTTCTGTTAATTTTTAGTCTCAGTCTTGATTTTTGTCGTAGTTTGATTTTGTTGTTGACTTGAAAGTTTATTGAACGTTAATTTTGAAAGGAGTAATTGGCTTTGTAAAACCCATGGTTTCAGTTTGTATATGTTAAGAAGTGCCACAAATTCCGGAAAAAACCATAATTCAAAATTTGTCACAGGATGCTTTAAAAGTTCTTCATTCAGTCCCATCCAATCAATGAAAGAATATTTAGACTTGGAGTTACTTATTTGTTTATTTTAGCAGCACTCGTTTCTCTTTTAAAAATTCTAGGACACCGATATCTTCAAGGACCTCCAAAGTAAGATCCTTTATTCCAATTTCTGGCATTATATGCAAATTGAGCTTTTCCCTTTGAATGGAAGAGAATAGCATTTCATTTTGATTGATAAGTCTAAGTAGAAGACATAATATCTGTATATTTTTGAAACCACTTTTTTTTCAAAGTAGACTCCCCTCGTAATTGAAAAAGTAAATGCTTTTTCATAAAAGATCTGATATATGCTAGTTGGGGGTCGTCCTCACTTTCATCGTTTTGCTGGTTCTCAGTTTCTTTATTCGCTTCATTTTCAGAAATATACAGATATTATGTCTTCTACTTAGACTTATCAATCAAAATGAAATGCTATTCTCTTCCATTCAAAGGGAAAAGCTCAATTTGCATATAATGCCAGAAATTGGAATAAAGGATCTTACTTTGGAGGTCCTTGAAGATATCGGTGTCCCAGAATTTTTAAAAGAGAAACGAGTGCTGCTAAATGGATACATACATACATACATACATACATACATACATACATACATAACAGCCATGCATCCATGCATACATACATACATACATACATACATACATACATACATACATACATACATACATACATACATACATACATACATACATACATGTCATTTCCTAGAAAGTTCTTAGATTCCTTTGTACACGTTTTTACCAGAACAACCATTGGACCCACCAGGTACCACATGGCTCTAACTTACTATACGTGTGGCATACCTTGCAACTAATCCATTCAGGTCATTTCCTAAAATTTTTCTAGGTGATATATCCAACATTCATTAATCAATGGATAATTTAACATTCATAAATCCACAATGCATTAAACAAGATATCCAACATAATCAAATAGTGGCCTAACTGTTAGAATAATAGACCAACGCTAGAGGGGGG